ACCTTTTTATACGCTCAACCGAGGTGCGTTGCATTTTTTTCTCCGGCATATATCCATTTGTACTACCTGGAACTCTAAATTGCGATTGATCTCATCAGGACAAAATATTTCGCATGTGATAGTGCACAACGTTATTAATAATAGACTAAAAGTTATCAGTTCTACAGACCAAAGTGTCTGTTTATTAATCAGGCAAAACGGTTTAATAAATAACAAAATGATAACAATTGTTCTGAAGTAAATGTTATTTGTAAGCTCCTTCCGAGATAACAACCACAAATGTGTTCAGCTGATTGACTAAAGTCCGTCTGCACGGGGTGACACCGACGGCGTGACGTGAAAGACAAATCCGATAATGTTGAATGGTAATCCTGGTCAAAATATCAACGTGATGTAGAATGACGTAGAAGTATCTCAAAACGCGATTATAATCTTTAAAAACAGATAATGGCTAATAAAACGGAACAGACGACCGATATTACATTTATTTTAAAAACAGCACTAGGGTGTATACTAATCAGATAATCGATTATGTTCGTTTTACAAACGATACAGAGAAACTATAATTATTAAATATAAATGTGATTACATATAAAGTGACACAAAAATTAAAAAACGTGGTCTTCATTTTTTCGTTATAAAATTCACTTAATATAAATATTCCCAAAGAATTTAATACCACTAGCTTACTGGCTAATGTAGTTTGAATTTCGTATTGCTTCGTGTGAAACTTTAGATACTCGTCCTTTCCAACAGGTAAGTTCAAACCCAACCGAAGAAAAATGTATTGTTCTAATCATGCTAATTACAAAAATGACCAAACGAATAACACTATAATTAATTTAGGTCACAGATTTGTTTTAGAATATCTCACGATCAAATATAAAATGCATCAAATAACTGTACATATAAATAATATCAACCAGACACATTTTTAGACAAAAAAGACACTTCGAATATCCTGAAAAATCTCAATTACCGTTAGCAGCTACAATCCACTCTCTAGAAATGTCATAGTATGTTCCTTTAGATTCTGAAGGAGAAAGAGTTTGTCTGGTCCCATTCTTGTCATCACCCTTCAGCATCCTGAAGGGGTGTGATCTAGATTTTCTGCTAACAGGAAGCTTGGACACCAAGGGCATACTATCCAAATTAGAATCTAGGAAATGACTGACTTTCTACTTAGAAGTTTAAGTGATCTCTTACCACTATAAATAGAGACTTGTCAGTGAAACTTTTCACTCTGTTCACACATATTTAAACCCTGGGCAAATTGGGGGCCAAAAAGAAGACACTTAGGTAACATCTCATTTTCCTTACCACATATCTGTTCTACTTATAACTGCCATCTGGCTATTCCCCAGTGAACATCTGCAAGCGGAAGCACGATCATCAACTCTTTACTTATGGATTGGCGTATTCCTCTAGAAATAATGTTTAGGTACATACGTCATCAGGGAAGGTCGCTTACCCAGTAACCAGTACTACCACTACTATGTTTCGCAATATACCCATCATCATTACCATTATTAGCAGCTTGTTCCATCAAACCTTAATTCCCATCATCCTCGACAATTTATTGCTTTGCCATATACATATATATTCACCTGTTTTGTTGACGAACGGAGCTGCTCCCTTCATTGGACATTTATCCTATAGATTCTAAATTACTCCAACCAGTCAAATGTCTCTTCACTTGATAGCAGTCGTCTTATTACTCTTGCTAACACTAAAAGCATTTACTCATTTTACTTACGCTTGATACACATCGTAGAAGACCAGAGGCCACTCATCACCATTCTCCATCCAAATCTGTCACGGGCGATCCTTTCCAGCTGTTAATTATCCTTTGGATGTCTGCTTCCGATTCCTGGGGCATTGTGTTCTTTGGTCTTCCTTTTTCCGTTCCCCTTCAAGACCACAAGGTAGCGCCTGCCCCACGATGCAGTTTGGTATATGCTACTTATGCCAACAGATATAAGTAGTATGTAACACCAATCGGAAGTGGAAACCCTGGTAGCAGATGGCTAGGAAGAACGGATTGAGGAACTTAGAAGCGGAAATAGGGAGGAATTTTGAAACGGAAGAGTCATTTAGAATGTAAAGGACAAATTATTTAAATTTGCAAGCAACGTATTCAATATATGGTTCTCATATTTTACCAAGATTTTGTGTAATGTTGTATTAAATGGTATTCGATTGTCCATACATGTGTCCTCATTTGTTGCGATTCCCGCAATTTGTGTCTTATCCACCTCTAGCTTCTTTTCCTGGTTTCTTTTTCAGCTGAGAGTTGATTTATTCTCTCCCACAGCATACTGTTTCTGATGGTATCCGGCAAAAGGGCATTGAGTATCTTGCGTAAACAATCGTTTATAAAGAATTGTACATTTTTGGTGATGTTTATAGTAGTTCTACAAGTTTCAACTCTGTACAGTAGAACTGTCCTGATGTTCTTATTGAAGATTCTGAATTTGATGTTGGCTGATAGTTGTTTTGAGTCACATGTGTCCTTCAGCCGTAAGAATGAAGTCCTTGCTTTGACAATCCTCGCCTTCATACCTGTATCAGATTCTTCTTGTTCATCGGTGATGCTGTCCATGTACGTGAAAGTTTCCACCTCTTCCAGAGCTTCTCCATCAAGTGTGACTGGACCTGTGGTCTCCATGTTATGTGTATGTTCCCTTGTGTATGTTATGGCATGCTAATGCAGAGGCTACTGCCATACTGGCTGTTTTGACCTGCATTTGTTTGTGTGTATGAGGTAGGAGGGCTATGTGATATGGGAAGTCCAAATCGTCCAGTTATGTGCAAGCTGTTCATTGCGATCCGTGCCTTCTCCCAGATGTGGAGGTCTTCATAATCCAGTCAACCACCAGAAGAAACAGAAGAGGGGAGAGTAGACAGCCTTGTCTGACTCCGGTCCTCATTCGGAATGTAACTGTCAGCTGTCCTCCGTGTACGACATTGCAGTGTAGTTCGTCGTATGAATTTCGGATGATGTTGGCGATTTTCGCCGACACGCCATAGTGACGAAGAATGTTCTGTAAGGTCCTCCTATCCACACTGTCAAATGCTATCTCATATCCATGGACACTGTTGTATGGTAACGAATTCCACTCAACTTATTGTCCAACGGTGAGTCGTGATGTCGCGATTCGGTTTGTGCACGACCAGTCCTGTTGGCCTCGAAATTGGGCTTCTGCTGAGTCTTTCATCCGGTTCAGCAACACTCTGTTGAAAACCTTTCTTGGTACTGACAGTAGTGCGATGCCTCTTTAGTTCTCGCATATGCTCAAATCTCCTTTCTTTGGAATCTTGGTGAGGTATCCTTTTTTCCAGTCCATCGGCAATCGTTACTCCTCCCAAATCTTCCTGAATAGAACGTGAAGCATGTCTGCAACTGCTTCTATGTCTGACTTTAGTGCTTCGGTTGGTATATTGTCAGGCCCTGCTATTTCCCAACTCTTGATTTGTCTGATGATCATCTTGATTTCTTCGGTCGTTGGTGGGGTGACACCAGTAAGATGGTCTGTGGATGCTGCTTCGATATCTGGTGGATTCGATGGAGCTAGTCTATTCAAGAGTTCCTCAAGGTGTTCCACCCATCTGTTCCTCTGTCCTTGAATTTCAGCGATTTGCTTGTCTTCTTTGTCTTTGACCTGTCTCTCTGGTTTACTATATTTCCCTGTCGTATCATATAGCTGTCTCATAATTCTCTTGTAGCTCCTCCCGCTGTCGTTGCTGATGCTCTCCTTCACTTCCTTGTTCGCTTCTGTGTTTTCAGCTTGTGCCTTGGCTTTTACTGCTCTTTTTCAGCCCTTGTTAATTGCCGTCTTCTCGTTTTTCCCTTCTTTGATTTTGTGCAGGGTTTCGATAGAGATCCATTCCCTATTGATGATGCTTCTTGTGACCAAGCACCTCCTGAAATGTTGAAGTTAGTGCTTCTCTGATCACTTTCCAGTTGTTCTCCATATTACTTTCTTCTTCTTTCAGTAAATCGTGTAGAGCTTGAAACCTGTCGTTGAGAGTCATCTTGAATTCTTGAATATATGTCAGCTCCCCTCCTGATTCTCATGTCTTCCACCGACCTTGTGAATATTCTACTGATGCAAATATGATCAATCTGGTTCTTTGCAATGTAAGATGCTATGATGATTCTGGATCCATCAGATTCCCATCCAAATAAGTGATTCTCGTGCTTGTTCGAACAGTATCAGAGCAACTCACTGAGTGTGTGGAGCATTTAATTCTTCATGGCTAGAATACAGAAACACTTCCCCAGAATCTAACCTTTTCTGTCCAGCTTGGGTCCAATGGGTTCCATTGATTCTGAGAACCGACAAGTTGTATCTCCTCATTCCCATAGCTAATTGATTGGTCATCCCGGTCTCCCGCATTGTCCGGACATCCCATGTACCTATATTAATTGTTGCTCTGATTGTAAGAAGGAGCATCAATCTCGTGACTTCCAATGAATCTCGGCTTGCACCATGAGGCGTCATAATTCTTCCTTCATTTCTCAAGGAAGGGTTTAAATGGTCTAATTTGTTTACTCTGGTTAATTTTTTATCAAGGTTTTTTCTGTGGGATGGGGTTGCTGATCTAACGCCTAACCCTCCTGCTTTACCCGAATTCGGGGCAGACAGTAACCCTAGAAGAGCTAAGGGTGGTGTTCATCAAGTTCTACTTGCCATAAGTTGCACTATTCAGGGAATTTTCAAGAAGCAAACCAATTTGAATACTTCTAGCTATCATAAGTAATCAAGGGTTATACTATCCTCGCCAACATTTTGCATTTTAATATTCTGATGTGATCACAAATTGAGTTGACGAAAAATTTATGGAAACGGGCGGAATTGAGAAAACACACTGACTTATAATTTTGGCATTTCGGCATGAACTTTTGAGTCTATAACGGCTAATGGGATCGAGTGTTTAAACTATTCATATGTATCTGGAACTAAGAAGCAGGTGTAATGGCAACGAGGACAGATGATATTGTAAAGTGTACGCTGTTATAAAACTGAAATCCAGAAACAACTTAAACCCACTGGACTCCGTAGAAGCCCTAAGAGTATCCCCTGATGCCAAGACTCGTTTACTACCGTTAGTCACAGGAATATTGATAGTTGGATAACTTGACATTCTAGCGGGTCATCTGACCTATTACCAAACGCAATGGCTGCTCTTGTAAGTATTGCATGGTTAAAGTTTATTTAGTTTAAATGCTCTTTTGACAAGCATAATATTATTAAAATTGATTTTAGGAAGTTGATTCGTACCCACGTCGGTCACCAAAATATTTGTCTGGAGAACCCTCTAGGAAAGTTAAGCGTGAAGCGGAGAAAGGGACCTTGGAATCTACTCCTCCTCCCACTGATGGGATAAAGAATTATTATATGAACAAGATCGATGAACATCAATTTATCTACACCGAGAAAGTCCTCAATTTAAGGCGACTGGAGGCTCAACGGAACGAGTTAAACGCTAAAGGTAGCGATGTGTAGTTTCCACTTATATTCCTTAGTTCGAATGCTTCGAGAAGAGCTTCAGCTGTTACAGGAACAAGGTTCATTTGTTGGAGAAGTCATAAAAGCTATGGACAAAAAGAAAGTGTTGGTCAAAGTACAACCAGAAGGAAAATATGTTGTGGACATTGACAAAAACATTGAAATGTCTCAGATATCCCCGAACTGTCGTGTGGCTCTCCGAAGTGATAGTTACACGTTGCATAAAATTTTGCCAAGCAAAGTTGATCCCCTTGTGTCATTAATGATGGTAGAAAAGGTTCCGGACTCTACTTACGAGATGATTGGAGGCCTGGATAAACAGATCAAAGAAATTAAAGAAGTCATTGAACTTCCCGTAAAACACCCAGAGCTTTTTGATGCTCTAGGAATAGCGCAACCTAAAGGCGTGTTGTTATATGGACCCCCAGGTACAGGGAAAACCCTGTTAGCTCGTGCCGTTGCCCACCATACTGAATGTACATTTATTCGTGTCAGGTATTATCAGTTGATCTATACTGTATATCCTTCAGTGGTTCTGAACTTGTCCAAAAATTCATCGGCGAAGGAGCTAGAATGGTTCGTGAATTATTTGTTATGGCGCGAGAACATGCACCATCTATAATTTTCATGGATGAAGTTGATTCAATTGGATCCACCAGATTAGAAAGTGGCACAGGGGGAGATAGTGAAGTTCAAAGAACTATGTTAGAGCTGCTCAATCAATTGGACGGGTTTGAACCCAAACAAAATATAAAAGTAAGGTTAACACACTATTATTACTCTATAGGTTATCATGGCAACAAATCGTATTGACATACTTGACTCAGCTCTTCTAAGACCTGGCCGAATTGATCGGAAAATCGAATTTCCTGCTCCGAATGAAGAAGCTCGATTAGATATCCTGAAAATACATTCTCGAAAGATGAACTTAACGAGAGATATCGACCTGCGTAAGCTAGCAGAATCAATGCCTGGTGCCAGTGGTGCAGAAGTCAAAGGAGTTTGTACGGAAGCCGGTATGTACGCGTTGCGAGAACGTCGGGTTCACGTTACGCAAGAAGATTTTGAATTAGCAGTTGCTAAGGTAACTCATTTTTTAGCTAGGTCGCTCGTGCTTGATGTTTTCAATTGTCCATTTTGATTATTTTTACACAAGAAGTAGTTTAGAAATGTTTGAGAATTCAGAAGAAAGTAGAAACGCAAGTTAGAGGGCATAAAATATTGTACGTCTAATTTTACACCTATCACAATCCACTCTGTTTGGAAAGGGGGAGGGGATAAAATGTCTAGATGGTGTGTAATAGTTTTTCCTACTTTAGTTTAGCCACCGAAGTTATTAAACAACACAGAGTAATTCTTTACTTTACCAAGAAATGAATAAATTCGAAGCTTTGTTCACATCAGGCAGAGATAAACTATTTTAATCCAGTCAGTGAATAATATGTTTATAAAACCCATAATTTTCACAAATCTGGAATCAAAATGACTGGTAACACTTCAGTCCTTTCTTCGGGTTATCATCCTACTGTGAGGTGAATTGTGAATAAACTTTTGTAATCCTAGTTTTATTACTCAAGTTATACTCTTCGATCACTACTTATCGACCCAAAAGCTCCACTCAGTAAGTCTACGTGACTCAAATAGGAGATTATTAACGTCATGAATTGGCGTTATTATTAAATATCCAAAGAAGAATTTTGGGTAGTTCATATTACATAGTCACCTTATGACTTTATAAACATTAAGTTTCTACGGGCTCCTTACAACTCGTTGAAGAACGTCGGTCTACTCCAGTCATTCGCGAGTTTGACCATAAACAAAGGTTGTTGCGTACTAAAATTGTGCAAAGCTTGAGTAAGGATCGAGAAGTCTGGTAGTTGGAGCCTACTGATGAGTTGGAAACAACAACTGTTTCCGGTAACTGCCGGAAGATCTTTTAATTCATCCGAGACACTGGCAGGAAGAAGTCTGGTGTTAGTGAAACAATCTGTGAAGCTGATGGGATGGCAAACAATAACATCTGACTTGAACGAGGAGCGCTTGCACTGGTCTGTTGCCCTAGTGACATCGATCAGATTGTTTTACTCTCTATAGCCAGTGTCGACTAATCCACCTAACGAGGCGCGAGTATGCAAAGGACCTCAACTCTTGAAACATCACAAATCACCAGGTCCATATAACCTACCTCCATTCTTTTTAGAAATGGTGGGGACCTGGTTAAGGAACCGACTGAACTTTGTACAAAGGTTTAACAGTTAGAGTGTTCCAACATCGTGGAATGAGTTCATAGTTGTTCCTACCTTTAAAAAGGGTTCACATCGTTTCTGGAACAACTGTGGGAGAATAAGCCTATCTCCGATCGCATCCAAACTATTGGCTTCCATCATACCTCGTAGATTGTTTGAAACCCGAGAAAGATTGACTCGCGAGGAGCTGTCTGGTTTCCATTTTAGACGAGGATGTGTTGATTTTTACTTTCTTCCAAATGTTAGAACACCATCATACTAATTGCAGAGCAATATTCGTAGTGTTTCTTAACATCAGGGCTGTCTTTGATTCGTTGGGCAGAATTTTCTATTAAAGACTGTGCCTGAGGAGATTGTTAACATTCTGGAAGCCCTAAATACAAACACCCAAGCCATGCAGTCCGCACTTAATCAGTCGGCAATCAGTGTCCGTGAGTATGACACATACTTTGAACCTTCTGAGTGCAATGTACCTTTACAAGACTGGTAGGAGCTCGTACCTAGACTCACACTTGGTGGTGAGCAGTTACAAGTGGTCGGAAAATTTTTTTACTTGTGTGATTGCCGTTGGTGGCGTGAGTGATGATTTTAATTTACTTATGGTGATAACCAAAGCGACTTATATCATTCCGGGTCATTGGCGTTGTTGTGATATTGGTCTAGCTGTAAAAGGTCGAGTTTACAACGCGTTGGTGAGAGCAATTACGCTCCATGCTTGTGAAACCTGGCCTCTGTGTTTGATCATCATTGTCCTCGAAGAATTGCTGACATCGAGTGGCGAAATCATGTTAGTAATGCATAGGTTAGACATCGTGTGTTCGGGCACAACGACGATAGTTCAATTAGCTTCATTTTCTGAGAACACCGATTTTGGTTGTTTTGGCATGTATTACGAATATCATCCCACATCGTGCATTATTTGCCGACACTGGGACTGGTTGGAAAAAGCAGAGGTGGTCAGTGTATGACATAGTGTTGTGGTATTAAGGAAGCCTGTATAAGATTGGCTTCTATTGGTCCTTCACGACTCCCTGGTTGGGGTTCTAGTGAAAGTGCAACACAGTGGCTCGTGACGTTGCCAGGTATGGCTCCCAAATGTCCTGGTACGGCCGAGGGTGGGGAGTCAGCTCCCTCTCGAAATGCTCTCATATGGCCACGCGTATACGGCCACTGCTAGAGAAGTCCTACTCATTGCCTTATCCCGGCAGGGGTGTTGTTTACGATTTCGAAAGGACGAAAAGTGAATGTCCGGCGCTTTAACCGGGTTGGTGGACGCGCAAAGTCTACCTAGGGGAGTCGGAAAACCTTGATTCCAAACCAATGATGCACATGGGCTCCGGGATTCTGAGGGAACAAATGGCGTACGAACCAATTATTGGTCACCGGCTCCCATGAGGCTGCATCTCCTGACCTTGCTCCATTGCCTTGTGAATCAAACATCGGGGTGTGGCCCCCTAAGAAAACCACCTGTTTCGATCTGGGAACCCGGGCAGTATCATAGCCCTCCGACAAATTGATTGATTTATTTGGCGCATATGTATTCGGTGCCCCTTTGTACCGACATTTGTGTTCAAATAAACAAATGAAATATATATGGCTCAGAATACGAGCCAGTGGTGATCCTGCTTTAACTTTCATTTACTTCATGTAAGTGAAAGTAACTTCTTTAACTGGAAGAATCCTTTATGATAGTATTTTTCTTAGATGAACTGCTCCTCCCATTATTATTATTGTTATTATTACTATTATCATTAATTTTTGTCCTTTTATATTATACTCACTCCACTTTCCCTACCTCTTCACAACCTAACTTTTATTGTATGGTGCATTTATATTTTGATTCATCTTTGTACCAATATTTGTGTTTAAATTAGTAATTGTAAATTTAACCAACATGATTGACATATTAGCTTAAAAAACAAATAAAAAGAAGAAAGTTGCTTCATATATGAAAAAGGACTAAAAGTGAATTCATCTTTGCTATGTTGAATTCTGATAATATGATTTTATTTATTTGGTCACTGGTTTGTAATTATGTCTCAAAAAAACCTTACGTTTTCTCTGTCTCAAATTGGTTTATCATAAAACTCCTAACCATTTAAAATCCTATTCAATATATTTGGCATCTCGAAATGTACGTACCTACTTAAACTCCTAAATTCATCAGATTAGAGCGTTGTTAACTCATCACTTCGTGACTTTTACATAATTTGTAATGTCTACCATTACGTATTAGTTTCTAATCTTCGAGGTCCACGTCTTACCCTTACTGTTAGGCAAAGTAAACTACTACATAAACTCAGTTTGTAACAGACACTCAAATGTACTACCTGCATCATGAATGAAGAAATCAGAAGAGTAATATTTTCAGTCCCCAATCATTTTAAATAAACAGAGTGCGATAATTCTTAATAAACAGTTTGTGGATTAGGGATCCATCTCGAAAATGCCTAAAAATTGTGATCTCTGGTGCTCAAATCGTTGGGCGCTCTGAATCAATTAGGGTATTTTGAATTAATAGATGAACTAGTGGTAGTTGAGAAATTGAAAGAAATCTCTAGGATAAGTTGGTTGATAATAAAAATCGTTGATACGACAGAAAAACACCATACTTCATGTTGCAATAAATATCTCGAACACAATATATTTTAACACAAAATCTGTAGGTCAGTAAAGTTCAGTGTTCCGTTCAGACTGGTTTCTATAAATGCCTTTGGTAATACTGTATAAGTGAAGATGTATTTTCCTAATGGCAATGACCAATTAGTGAAGAAAACCACGAATCTAAAGCAATAAGGACTACCACTTTGACTGTTTTCAGGGTCTTTGGTAATGCTCACACGGGACTATCAGTTTAAATTGTTTGAAGTATCACTTGAGTTATGTGAGTTAGGCATAAACTTTCTAGCATTAAATCTTGCTGATTTATATGGACGCGTAGAACTTTGACTAAAACCACGGCGAAACTGAATTCTATGGCTTCACAATCAATCAATTTGTAAATGTTTGACTTAATTTAACTGGTGTGGGATCCGCTCATGATTCCCAGTGATACTGTTATTTCCTTGTAAGACGTCAATTCGTATTAATTTATTTTTCAAATAAAATTTTATCTCCAAATATTTTTCTAAATCTCCATTTTATTGTAATTTTTTGTTTAACTTTATGCTCATTTGTAGGTGATGCAGAAAGATTCTGAGAAAAATGTATCTATCAAGAAACTGTGGAAATAAGGCTTTAAATTTATTTATTTTATATGACTAAACAGTACCATTTTCTTTTGTAAAAACGTTACTGGTATATTCTGTTTTCATTCTTTGTCTACTTGTTCACAGAAAAATGAACACATTTTTTCCAGTTATTTAAATCGCTTCCATAGACTGCTTTATTTTTTAGTAACTAGGGTTTTGTTCTAAATATGTAAATTGTAGGTAATTAACACTCATACGTTTTTATTTTATTGTTACGCAATTATCCGTGTAGATTTATTCTATCACTCGTGTGTCATAAACAAAAATTTCTAGGTGCAACTTGGTAATTTAGTGCTTGAGACCTAAAAATATCATACTACCCAAAGTAAACCTGGGTTCAAATCTGCAGTTCAGTGATTTAGTTTCGTATTTTTAGTCCTGAACTTTTGCTGCATAAATTTAACAGTAAGGCTCAGTCATTCAAAAAAACGTATAGCACACATATTTCATACCATATCAGCACTGTGAAATCCTATCGTCTAGACAAATTCGAGAGAAGTAAAAATAAGAATGTCAGCAGAACACATTAAATGTGAGCAGTATGCTTTTCGAAAGAATGAATTTGCATATATGTCCCTGGTCCTGATTGACTGACAGAACGAACTTGCAAAATAAATAAAGTATAAGATGACTTTAAAATCCATGATCTAATGAAAAAAGTGTCTGTTTTGACTGGTTGTGATCCATGTCACCGAGCGTCTTATTACGACAAATTGCAAAAATCGAGCAAAATCCAATCAGATAGTCTTAGTTCACAAACAGCTCGGTCACTGACGTTATGAACTGATACCATGTTTTGGTTTGGTTGTATCTAGCTTTGCAACTCACCCCCACACCGTCATTGTCGCCTATCGAAGTAGGTGGTAGTGGAAAATACTGCAGTTATGATGTGGGTTATTTACATCCATATAAGTAGTATATAACGATGGTCAGACATAGAATGTATTTCAGCAGGTCGATAAGGAAGGAACGGAACGCAATTGGTATGAAAATGCATAGACAATGGACTGATATTCGCAAAGGAACAGTCAAATTTGGGACGATGGATTTATATTTTGCAACTTAACTATTTATTACATGGTTCTCAGATTTTGTTGTAATTTCGTGTCAAATGCATTTGATTATCCCCACTCATGTTCTTGTTCACTACACAGTTAATAAAGTGGAAGTACTTCGTCAAGTGGTTTATTACCTTTGCTTGGTATTCTGTGTCTAGATTCAGCAGTGCTCCGAAGGTACATTTTACTATATATTAGTAACCTACCAATACTTTTCTCTTAAAGGTAACGTTCCATAGCTATAATGTAGAAGAGGACGAACTGACCATGCAGTATGCTTGTATTTCTAACAAAGTGACGGACATTTTAGTTACTTCATAGACACTGACTTAGACCATATCTAAGACAGGATTTTGCAAACCAGAAACTTGTTGCCTAAATCAACTTGAAGAACTGCATTTTATCAGCGTTTTCACTAAACAGAATTATACGTATCCTAAGTACATCTAATATATTTGTTCACTAGTCAGAGGACGTTATTTTCAAAAGGATATCAAAAGTGAGCAACCTTCACTCATTACTTGATGTCAATTCTGATGAAGGTTGACCGCAGGCTCTGATTCAGTCAGTAGTGATTTGGCAGTTTTCTTTAGAACGGTCCTCGGTGGGAAACTTATAAAACCTGTCGGTCAATCAACATAGTAAGAGTAAATCTTGGTTTCTGGACAGTATTTTCTGAGCAACGAAGGTTCGAGACGACAATACTTGTTCTGAATTCCTTGGCTTTAAGTCTGATTGATCACGGACGAATTATTTTGCGGGGGTTTGGACGTCTTTTGTTTCCTATACAACTCGCAATATGTAGACGCTACTAGAAGTTAACATGTAGTCGTTTCCATTAATGGACAGTCCATTATCTGCAGTAGGAATTATATACTTTCACTGTGTTCACGTCTGTCTTCATCCCTGTTTTAGATGCTATGGGAGATAGATGTTTGGCCAATTACGAGTCATTACATGTGGTTGTTTCTCCTGTTGTTGAGGCCACAAATTAACGTAGTTATGCATTGTTTTTTACAGTTTCGATTCGTAGGTTTATCATTACGTTTGCGCTTCCGCAAGTTAATACAATAATCATGTCTCCCTCATGAAGCAATCCTGTTAGACAGTCCCATTGGGGATTTACCTAAGTATCAATTAAAGTCGACAGGCATGGCATGTAAGGTTGGATTCAGAGGTCTTTAAGGATAATAGGGGTTTTAGCAGTTAGTCTAACAGTAATATTAGCTAGTTTGGAAACTGAACGTAATCTTACATAACTGGTCTCAATTATCCTTGTCTATATGAACTTAAATCCTCATGAGGACAGAAGAGTCGATTTGGCTAATGTAGTATCTAAAACCCCAGTTTCAATAACCATCTGACCAGGAGAGTTGGGAAAACTAGGTAGGTTTTGGTCCAAGGCGTCTGGTTTTTCACCAACTTGGAGTAGATAAAATGTCAATCCGCTAAGCAAAGGGGAAGCATACTGAGCGAAATTCTTCTGTGTTCCTCGACTAAACGAAAAATGGTCTATGAAATTAGAAGTGATGTGTAGAGCGCAGGCTCTTAGTTGTTGGTCTTTAAATCATGGTTGAGACATCGTTGGACCATCGAATAATGCCGAGGCTAGCACATAAGGCCGAGATGGGAATTCTTATGGAACTGTAAATTCTAAACGATCGATGAGGATAAGATCTGCTAAATTTCCCAGACTACTGCCTACCACATTCTCAATGTTGGCTGAAGTAGGAGCATATCATGGAAACTAGGCGGTGGGGGGCGACCGAATTAAGACATGGGATCAGTTAGCGAAGCGATCAGTGGACAGTCACACCAGTAGATGCATATCACCTTGCTGTGGCCCACACGAAAGAGTCGATGTCAGGTAAAATGACTAGAACATAGTTAATCCATGTATATTTACTAGGTATGCTCCATAAAGTTCGGAGCTTTAACGTGATTTCTTTACATACTTATTTAGTGTTTTAAAGAACAGTGATACATCCTCATGCTAGAATTCACTGGGATACCGATCACCTACTTACCACACACGGACATTTCATAAGCTATATTAACTGGGAGTGAAAAATACAACTGCAAAGAACTTGGTCTTCACCACTCATCCTAATTTGTCAAAAAAATGCTTCCGTGATAATTACGGAGAAAGTAAATGGACAAATACATGGCCCCTGAGATCTGTGATTATTGGACACCTGGGTCGTCTAGAACTTAGAACCTAGTGTGTATGTACATCGGTTCAAGTTGCCATAGCCCATCAGCAAAGAGACGAAACTGGAACAGTATCAGTGGCAATAAGAAAAGTTAGGCACCGAAAACAAGATTCGAAACTGGTGGAACAAAAATGCAACGAGGAAATCAGGATTTAGGGAAGACAAAGAATGGACGCACCCGAGTCATTGCTAAACGATCTTGAGCCATGCCAGTCTATAACTACTGTTTATGGTAATCACGCGGACCCCAACCACGTAGTCTACATCTGTCAACATGGACAAGTCTAGTTATCAATGACCTCAAAGACACCTAATCGGATACCATCGACTTCGAACAAACTAAAAGTGTAAAGCGAATGCATGGTCAACCTTATTCTGGGCTAATAAGACATAGCAATTGGTACCTTACCACTTTCGTCTTGGTTTACCCGAAGGTAGCGTTCGACTTTGATACACCTCCTAGTGGCGGAATGATGCTGGAATACTCTACATCCCCTGAGTCTATTTTTTCGAGCATAAAGTATTCTCATATTCAGCCTAAACTTTATAGGTAATGCTCTGTGTTCTGTTTATCTAACAACTGGTTTTACGTAATTAGTATTTCGTCGACTAGTAATTCATAGACAATGTACCCCTCTATATTGAAAAAACAACTATTCAGAACCCCTGAAGTGAGATAAAATATCATCACCGCATAGTATGTTTATGGGAAGTGTGATCAAGCCTTGACATTAATGATATGAGTCTAATTAATCAGTCAAAACACCAGATTACTTTCTTATTAACATAAGTCGCAATCAGCATTCCACTATGAAGTGAACATATAGTTCTAATCTTACCTTGACTTAAAAACACGATTGCAAATTTCCTAACATATATCTCCTCGTAATGTTGTATGTGGTCGGACCACAGAGTAGGCAATACTAACGCTGCTGTGGTTCTTCTTTCATCAATGCTTTTCTTGGTCTGTATTCCCTAGAATTTGAAAGGGAGTAAAATTTAGTGCACATATCACAGTATTCAATAACGCGCTTCACATCTAAAAGTATGAATCCACTAGCAGTCCAACGCTTAGAAAATCATTGAGTCAAATGATCCAAACTTCAATATGCATAAAGAAAAGCTAGACAAAAGTGATTAAATAATATAATATCAAGAATTAGGAGATCTATCATTACATAATACTCATGATAAAATAAACATAAAACTCTTCATTTATAAAATCTTCCTGAATATAGTTACAATTAGAAAGCACATTGACAAAAATAAATTTTGACAAGTTAGGTTATATTATCCTTGGCAGCTTAAGCACCCTTCGGGATTGGTCAGACTACAAGCAATAGCGTCCACATTCCGTTTCTGTATTTCCTCCATTATTCGAAGTTCTTCTATAGCTTCAACAGTTTGATCAATTGAATCATTATTTTGAGGTTCATTTGTTTTTGTTGTAGAATCAGTAAGCACTCGCAGAATAGTTTTGTCTACACTGAACTTGATAGGATCAGCAGCAGGTCGTGTTCGCAGATAGTACATACCTGTTTTCAGACCCTGGAAGGATAATACATCGTCTAATAGTTAAAAAATCTGTGTTGAACAAATGAATAAAAAAAACTGTACGCTACTTCAAGTTATTGCATTAAATAACAAGCATATTATTAATCGGAAACAAAATTATGAGGGAATTATATAACGTACCTTTCTCCAAGCATAGAAATGCATACTTGTTATTTTTCCATAGTTCGGTTGGGCGAGATGTAAGTTAAGAGACTGGCTTTGGTCAATAAATGGGGCACGACCTGCAGCCATATCGATAATCTTCTTTTGCGAAATCTCCCATACTGTCTTGTACAAAGGTTTTAACTCCTTAGGAATTCCATCGATATGTTGAATAGAACCCTGATTCAAAACAATCGCTGTTTTAAGTTCGTCCGACCACAACCCTAATTTAGTAAGATCATCAAGAAGATATGGATTCACAATCTGGAATTCACCACTTAACACGCGGCGAGAAAATACGTTGCTTGTGAAGGGTTCAGTAGACTCATTGTTCCCAAGAATCTGAGATGTTGATGCTGTTGGCATGGGGGCCAACAGGAGACTATTGCGCAAACCATACCTTAGGTAAAAGAAAAGATTTCCTACATTCGAAGGTGTGTGAAACATATTTCAGTGTACAAGATAATAAAATAAAGTCATCATAAGCGCGCCAGCTTACCCATATTTTGAATCTAATAGGAGTGGATTATCAGTACCGAATAATGACACGAGATGTGATATGAACAGTGAAATAACAGGTGTTAATCAAATATGTGAACTTCTAAGACGAAACTACTACTTTTAGTACTCATACACCATTATTAATGTAAAATCCACTTAACGTCTCTTACTTAATGGTATTTCGTACATTTTGTTACTAGTCACTTCAAAACAGAAAACTATCCAGCACATAATCCACATGCTTTTGTTGCATTTTGCTTACTTTTAAAAGCGATATATGAAACACGTTAATTGTTACGTTTAACAGTCCTCACTTTTTCCCTTAGCAATCTGAGCTAGAAAACCAATGAAATTTCTACACAAAACGAAATGAAATCAAATGTTCAAATCTGGAGGTTAAACGCCACTTATCGGTCAAGTGTCTAACAAGTTCAAGACAAACTTCACATCGGTCAAACTGACCATTTTAAATCAGACTGAATAGTCTTACTAATCGTATTTATTTGGTGAACCGGGAGTTGTAACCACTATAAAAGCGAAGTCGGTCGTCTAAAGTATCCAGGGAATCTACATAATCTAAGTACAATGTAGCATACCGGGTGACATCACTGGTGAATAGGCACAGAATTATTATTTATCAGAGTCCACTAAATCGTAATAGTTATGTAGCTTTTACCAAGAACGACTTTATGTATTCACCTTTGAACAAAACTTCAGGTGCGATAGTCTAGTGGTTCCATCTAGCTATCAGAATTAAAGCAGATGAAATAGAATATGAACCCCAAGATCTAGCGATTAAAAGTTGAGTAGCATAACCACTGATACAGTAATACTTACTAAGAACAAATTAGTGGTTTGTCTCGGTACCTGACTCAATAACTGATATTAGGTATTTGTACGGTGGAAAAAAAGCTTACCGAACCTGGTGTAATCCAAAGACAAATGGTGATAAAAATCTACCGATATTATCCACCTCTTCATTCATAAGAGCAATGATATTTGGAAAGTAATGTAAGAATTTGTAGTACCTACATTTTTATTCGAGCACGTAATCCACTCCAATCTAAACCAGACACTTTGGAAAGCTCCTCCGTATCTACACCCCACATATCAGGCTGAAGTATACCCTTACTGACAGGAGAACCTTGATATGACTCATATGTCCCTTGGTCAACCGCTAGCTGGCATGACGCATCCAGAGATGCAAAGTACATTGTTTCAAATATACGTTTGTTAAGGTCTGCTGCTTCTGGACTATCAAAGGGATACCTCAAAAGACAAAATGTATCTGCCAAGCCTTGAACCCCAATACCGATCGGCCGGTGACGCATATTTGATCTGCGAGCCTACAAACAAAAGTTAGAATTTATCAGCAAGATGCGAAAGTCTATGATATTTTTAGTAGTTAAACATTTAAAAGCTTTTACGATCAATCTTACCTCTTCAACTGGATAAAAGCTAACATCAATGACCTTGTTTAAATTTCTGGTTACGACTTTTGTAACTTCTTGTAGCTTATCGAAATCGAACGTAAGATTATCTCGATCAACAAATTTTGCCAATGAAATAGAGGCCAAATTACAGACAGCTGTTTCGTCTGGTGAAGAATACTCAACTATTTCGGTGCATAGGTTGCTACAACGAATTGTGCCTAGATGTTGGTGATTTGATTTGCGATTGCAAGAATCCTTGTACAACATAAATGGATTGCCTGTTTCAATCTGGCATTCAATAATAGCGTACCTGTTAATATCAATTTTATATACTTATATATTATGTGAACAAGAATAGTAAGCATTTATAAATGCAGTTGAAAAGAAATGATGATTAGTGCATGAAAATCATACTAATAAAGATATACACATAAAATTTATGTGAGCACTGATAAATCAATGTTGCTGAATACCTTAAAGATACTGGAGTTCCCAAAATTCATCCTACAACTACGCGTTAGGGCCAATATGTTAAATCTCGTTTGGTAAACATGGAACGGAGCCATTGTTACCTAAACCGAATACATGACCATATATTTAGTTTCTAAAACTTACATCCATTCAGATTTTGTTTAGTTTGATAAATATGTGCAAAATCATTGCGTACACTTTATCATAAAAACAATACCCTGAATATATTATGACTAGAGTACTAATTTATTTGCTTACCATAGCTCCTGGGCTTTAATTGTTTGTCTGCCACGCCCTTCACGCTCATATTTTTCGTACAAATTGTCGAAATTTTCACCCCATAGTTCGGGCAAGCCTGGACACTCATGAGGATCCATAAGTGTCCACTTATCGTTAGATTCAACGCGGCGCATAAACAAGTCAGGTATCCAGAGGGCAAAGAACAAGTCCCGTGCACGAATCTCTTCGGCGCCAGTATTTTTCCGCATTTCTATGAACTGAAATACATCAGGGTGCCAAGGTTCTAAGTACATGGCAAAGGCTCCTGGACGCTTGTTACCTCCTTGGTCAACATATCGTGCAGTGCTATTGAATACACGCAACATCGGGACTAAACAGAATAGAAGATACAAATAAGTAGATTTTTAAACAGCATTCGTACAAAATAGAGATTTAGAAATTTGGACTGGAAATAAAAGGAACTCACCAAGACCATTCGATTCTCCATTTGTTCCAGCTATGTAGGTCCCAAGACTGCGGATGTTATGAACATTTATTCCAATACCCCCGGCATTTTTAGATATAATTGCACATTCTTTCAACGTATCGTAAATGCCTTCTATACTATCGTCTTTCATAGTGATAAGAAAACAACTTGAAAGCTGTGGTTTGGGAGTTCCAGCGTTAAAAAGTGTCGGTGAAGCATGTGTAAACCATTTTTCAGACATCAGGTTATACGTCTAGAAAGTTGGACATATTATTGCACATTTACTTACCTCGATGGCACTGTCGATGTCAGACGTATGTATCCCAATCGATACCCGCATTAACATATGCTGTGGTCGCTCATGAACCTTACCGTTTATTTTTAAAAGGTAAGACCGCTCTAGAGTCTGAAAAAAAGATAATTATTTCTTAGAAATAAAGTAGCTGACATCAGTCGATGGACTGTAAAACTATTAGTATACAAGCATTTGTAAAGTCTAAACAAATATCATGTTAGGATTCGGAAGACCTTATTGCTCAGTATGATGAGAATGTCTACGTGTTTCATGAATGTACAACCTCAATGGGTGGAAATGTTTTAGGACAGATTTCTCAGATGAGTTGCTAGATTAGGCGGATTGCAATTCTAAGTGTACTAATCGAAGGGATCCTCACAAACATGCTTGTCTCCAAAATTTTAATTTATATATACGCCTATTAAGTACTTTAACATAAAAGCTGTTTCGTTTTAGATGCATTACATCCGATAAAAAGCTGTCCAGATTTAAAACCAAATGTGGTATGATCTCAACTAGTTTATAACCTTAAATGTTTGTATAATTAACAATGATTTAAAATTATAGAACAGACTGACGTCGGAGTCCCATGGTAGTAGTTAATCTTAATGATCGTCTATGAAGATCTATAAAAATCTATTTTAAAAAGTCCTCATCATATACTATATGACAACCTTTTGATAGGAGTATCTAACGCATGTAGATTATAATGCACTTAGTCAATAATTAACGGTGGCGGATAAAAAATAACACGTCTGATACGCTAATTCACTATTTACATTTTAAAATAAACTCATGTCAGATCAATTTGCTCATAAGAGAATATGAGGTGTTCCAGTTGACACACTTAAGATATGTTGAGATTGAACACAGTATATAATTACCTCATTATTTTAGACACATTTCTTTTAGAACACGTGAATTATTTTCCAGCATTACCAGTATAATCAAGATGCGAAACATGAAAGTCACTTGAAGTTGTAAACATACGTATGTTAACAGCCAAATGTTCAATGATCTGGCACATATGGGAAGAATTACAATCAATAACTTACCTTAAACCCAAAATAATTGTACGTGTAATCTCGCTGGTAGTCAATGGCATTATCCAGCCGCTCGGCATTTTCTCTAACAAAATCGCGAAGACTTCTTGTTACTAAGGGAGAATGCTTCTTGGTTCGAGGATTAATGTAACCGAACAAATCTTCAATAACATCTGAAAACCTAGATTTCGTTTCCTTGTGTAGATTTGAAACGGCAAGACGAGCAGCCAAAATAGCATATTCATGATGTTTTGTTATCATGCTTGCGCATGTCTCGGCTGCCAGATTATCTAATTCCACAGTAGTCACTCCCGGATATAAGCCAGACACTACACGTTTAGTTACCGCTTCCTGTTGGCATGAAAGATAAACGGGATTAAGGACACATTACTACTTACAGCAAAGCTACCACAAGTAGTTACACACAACAATGAAGCAAAGTAAAACCGTAATGATCGCACCAACATATTATTAGATGAACTACTTATGTCATTAAATGGCTTTTTCGTATGCCTAATTAGTGATCGTTAGATCTTGACCATTGAGCCGTGATCCAGTAGACAGGAATGCAAGTGATGTACCAAAATAAAAAATAATCAACAAATCCAACCAAACAAATACGAGGCTACCCGCTTTTCTGTTTGAAGTTTTGTGACTTCCTGACACAAGTACCGAAACCATATGAGTCAAATGCTGAGGAATAATAAAACCGTTCACAAACGGACGCTTATTTTACGCATTCGACTCCGGAACAGAAAATAAGCGGAATCTCTCTTAGCACCTGGAAAACGATACTTAGTCTTCTTTGGTTTAAAAACCACGAGGATTATCACATGCTTTACAACTATTTAAAGTACCCAAATTAGTATTCCTCACATATGGCTCAAATTCCATTCCAAAACCTCTACTTTCTCCTTAAGATGAGATGACCGGTTTTATCCGCTAAGTATTGGCAGAGAAATAAACCTACGAAACGCTGAATAATTTGATGATCACGAAGCTTAACTAATTGTCCTGTGGGCATAATAACATGCAACACTCTTCATAACCTCTACACAGATATTATTTAACACATCTTGAGGAAGATTAGGACTATTCAGTTACATGTGGCATATTGTGTCATATAACAGTGATACACTTACCACGTCAATGTATGACTCGTTCAAACCATAGCACATAGCACGTACACGTTTTGTAATTTTTTCGCAATGAATTACTTCGTTCCTTCCATCTATAGAAATAGAACAAACCTTTAAAAACACTACCTCGCTTAACGACATAAATTTTGTCGATTCCACTGAATTCCCTTAGCAATTTGTGACTACCAGACATTAGTACAACGGCGACTATCACGGCCCAAAGGAAATTGAAATCAAATAGACGGGTCAAGTGATCAGTTCAACCGATTGCCTGGTATAAACAAGACACAACAATGAGAGTATGAGACAATGAATATCAAGAACATTCCGACAAACTCTATGTCTGTATATCTTTCAAAAAAATAATATGCTTTTTTAAATAGCAAGACGGAATGTAGACACAACTTCTACTCCTTAAGAGTTGTCAAAAGCTGGAACTCGCTGCCGGCCGAGCTAGTCCAAGCGACTTCTCAGGAGTCCTTCAAGAGGCAACTTGACCTATTCTTAAGGACCAAGGACAGCATCACACTATGATTTACCAATTTCTTTTCCTCTTTTATTGTTAACATACCTAGGTTCCTGCCTGGAGGATTTCGTGATCCCCTGCTACTAGACACGGAAGCCTGTTAAGCGAAAGCTTCTTCTATTCCGTCCACAACCATTTGAACCATTTGAATTTGAACCATTTATTTTCAAGGCTTAACTAACGAAATGATCTTGCCTAAATCATCATTGAAAATCCCAAAGCACGGCATGGTCGTTTCGTTCTAATACGGGACTCCTCAGTAGTGCATATTCATGACTTTGTGCACGTAAATAGAATCCAGGACGTTCAATTTCGCGGAAAATCGCCTAACCTGCAGACCAATGTGCTGGTATCCAGAGGTGTTAATGTCTGACTTCAATCGATTTACGACATTGCACAATCCGTATTCATTGCCTCAAGGTAACAACTGTCTCATACTGAAGGCGAGTTGAACTTCACTGGTAATTGGCTCCCTATTGTGAGTTCAGAAGTCGCTAATAACAATTATGTCCTCACCGGTGACTAGCTTCAAACTGTAATGTAAGGGTTGACAGAACATAATTTGAGTGCATTCACCCACTAGGTTTTCCTTGTCCTGAACAGTTTAATGGTCTTCGGAAACAAAAACAGGTTTTGCCTCTAATTTACTCTATGTTTCAAATTTTTAATCAATACCCAGTGTCATTAGGCGAACAGGAATGTAGATTGGTAAAAAAGTTCTCCACGTAACTCTTCATTCGTTGAATGTGTAGCTAAGTGAACGGCTAGTACAAACATAGTTAAAAAAGACATAGTGGATAATGTAAGCTACAATTTATGAATAATACCACCTGGTATTATCGCTCCCACCTACGCCACTTCTATTCTTTGAAAAACTACTTAGAACTTATCGTAACCCAAATATACAAGATAGTGTGAACAATAGTATCTTGATATAAACAATGCAATGATTAATGCGCTTATAACAATGAGCCAACAAATTTTACGAAAGTAAACTCAGTGATAATCGTTCATCAAGCACAGACTAGGTTTTCGTAGTCCAACGTTCACTCCATGTTGTTCGCATATTTCCAGCCTATCTAGCTTGGTTATTCAGATCTTATATACTTTAGCTTTCAACGGCTACTTTTTCAGACCCTGATATCTACAAATGGTTGCCAGTGTTTAGTCTAAGCTGGCTAACAATTGCAAAGGATGCGTAGTAAGGCGTATCCACTTGTGATCTAGTTCGGATGAATGACCGAGCGCCTTCAGCTAGGTGTGCTTAGTAAAACCAACGAGGTCAGCATCAGTGTCGAAGACTTACAGAACCATTTATTTTGAGGATTTATTTACCGCTATGCCCGCCTCTTATTTCGAACGTCTGTCTGGATAAACGAATACCAGAAATAAATTCATTGGAAGGTGACCCGTGTTTATCTTCTTATTGCCACCGTCACACAAACGGTGTTAGCCTATGCAATATACGTAGTTAAATGGAAGATTTATGTTTGTAACATCTCCGCACGACCAAACCAGTGTCAGATACCGAGGAAAAGACGTATTCGGTCCGTCATAAATTTTGAACAGGAGAATTATATCAATTTTGGGTCACCTTGTCATTCAGATGTGACGTCGATTATGTGTATGATGTTATATATTTATCTGTCCAGTACTTGCATTTTGTACTTCAGCCATATAAATTAATTTACCGTATCATTCTGTGAGTCCTTGTATCACCATATCTCAATAATAACATATCTCTGCATGAGTGGGTACACGCGATTTTTACAGGCATGATCTATAAATCACAACATCTGTTGGTGCGTAGCATGCTTCCCAACTTATTAAGTTTGTAGTTGTTATAAAGTAGACTCGTAGACCGCTTGCTGTAAAACATGATCTAGAGGAAACTCGTATGTTGAGTTTGTTCTAGACGTCAGAAGTTCCATAGCTGTGCTCTCTGAGCAAGATTCTGAAGAAAAAAAGAAACAGAAACAGAAGAGCAGCAAGGCACTTGGATATGAACGCCAAACGTTGCTTAACACTGTGTAGTAGAACAGAGGTGTAATAAATTAGATTAAACTCATATTATCTTTTGGTAGAGTGAAATGAAGTCAGAGGCTCCATATAAGAGAATGTATTAATAAAAAACAATCAGTTACGATGTTTAACAAGTTGGAGTAAGCTTACATGAAGGAAGGGAAGTAAAGGTTGGTACAAGGAAAGCGGTTTATTAGAAGGGAGTGTGCATATAGAGGGTGAAGTGTTAAGAATACTAATGACGATATCTTTTTAGATCATCAATGTAGGCGACTTATTGGAATGCTCGAGGTCGACTCGAGTTGTATGTGTTTGACGTGACCTTTTAGCTTATTTCATGCAATTGGTTCCCTTTATGAATTTAAATAAAGCAAGAACAAATATTCATGCAGAATAGTATGAATTCATATTATTTCGAGTTTTCTCGTCAGCTGCGTGGGACCAGGGCTTTCAACAGTGCAATAGCTCGACATCTATTTGACACCGGGCACACCATAGACATTCCTCATGCTTTCAAAGTTATCAATAGACAAAGAAATACGACCACCCTCCGTTTTGCTGAAGCTATTATGATCCAAAAACTTAAACCTGACTTATGCATTCAAAAAGAGACGTTAATTAGCTTATCACTACCCTGGTAACCCTTTATTATTATTATTATTATTTTATTTTTATTTACTTCAAAATATTTATATTCCTCCTCTATTACATAATTCTTAAACCACATTATTATTTACGCATTTCCACCACCTGATCCTCCTAAATTATCTTAACTTTTCATATTCTATTTAATTATTATTACGTAACCTATCTTATGATTATTCAATTGCATTATTACACCACCCAACCCGAATTAATTCCTTTTGACCTCTGACCTGTTCTAGCATATATATATATATATATATATATATATATATATATATATATATAGTTATTATTGTAACCCAGTTATTTACACTCATCTATGTCATTTGTTTTCACTCTATCTCAATGTAAAAATTCTATCACATTTTTTGGTTTGTAAGCAGCTGACGAGAAACCTCGAAATAATATGAATTCATACTATTCTGCATCAATATTTGTTCTTGCTTTTAGCTTATGTTGAATTCACACCTTGTGGTTAATACCTAACTTAGTCTGCCTTTCCGTAGCGTCCAGGTAGTTTAACTACTTTGATAAAAGTATATTACAAGCATGTTATTATTACTAAACTGCATTGGTAAAATTATATATAAGAGAGCGCGATTTTTGTCTCACAGGCCAACCCATGTCGTGTGATCGCTTGATGCACAATGATTTTTCTCTTACCAGTGAACATCTCGCCAAGTTCTTTGAGGGATACAATGGATAAGCTGCACTCAGAATATGATATATCGGGCAGTATTCTCACATACCCTTCGTTTTCGACAAATGGCTAGCCAGCAGAACTCCCTTTACGTCAGCAGTGTTAGAAGGCGTCACCTGGGGTCTTGGATGATTTTGGTGCTTATTATCCTTCCCTCAAGTAAGCTTTGCAACCGTTAGTGGTCCGATTTTGGGAAGTTTGAGCTATCTCTATCCCCCAAAATTTTTGTCGTTCTTGTTCCACAGACTGAAAGCAGTGTCATAGGCATCTTTAAGTTTCCTAACAATAAGAGAGGAATCCCGAACCGTGATTGCTTTCCTAGGTTCTCGAGTACGCCGAAGTTGAGGTCCGTTTTGTATAGAAGTTATATTGCGGTTCGGATTCCTATGCTTCTTGCTGACTGATCAAAAAGTCTTGTAGGTAGATTGCACGGTCGATTCATTAGCTGATTTTCTTGCGTGACCTGGACTGTTCACCATTTTTACCGGTGACATTCGATTCCTTTTAACTCTTTCGACAGGAGTCCAGTCACCTACACTGAAAGCTTTACGGAAAAGAGGAAGGCCAAAGGACACATTACGTCAGGAAATAGAAGCAGATATGAAAAGGATGAATAACAACAAAAAAGAGCTGGAAAGGATTGCCCAAGACAAAGCTGGATGGAGAGTGCAGGTGAGCGTCCTATACTCCTCCACGAAAAGTAACAGGCGTATGTAAGTAAAAGACGACAAGTATCACATGAAGTATACGTTTGTTTCGGCTGAAGTTCAGTTTCGTAGTTATTCGAGGGTAACAAGGTTTCATTTCATTCTGTACTGCTATTTGACTTCATGATGCCCTTCAAAATCGTGGACAAAAATAATCATTACAAACACGGCTTAATAGGATAGGGATTACAAAGTTTGGCATTGCTTGCAGCCAAATGAACGGTAGTATTGCAAACTGATTAAATGCGTCCAATCTTACCACATTTAGAACATTTAGCATTACGAGATACACATGAATTACATGAGTGAAATTCGCCACAAGACAAACACTTACCAAACGTGTGCACATCTTCGTGACCTGCTTCTCAACTAGTCGATGAGTTGTTATCTGCATAACATTGAGTACACATTGGACTGAGATGACCTGGAGATGTAGTGCAATTTTTGATGTTTTGGATGAATTATTTTATGAAATTTCTCGCCTTCATGACATTCAAAATTTGTACACTTTATATAGTTTAGTAATACTGCCTTGAGATTTGCGTAGCGAAGTGAAATAGGCTTATCTGGAAACAGCAACGTTTTTAATAAGTTGTAGGCCTCTTTTCCTATCCGTTTAAGGAAAAGCCACAATGTTAACATCCTGAAAATCTCACTTTGTTATAGTTCATTTTTCGAACAC